CTCAAAACAAAATTCAGTTTCCTACCAAGAAAACACAAATCCCACTGGGGCCCTATGTGTTCTGGTCTGTCTCTTTGCTAAGTCGGCTTTCTGCCACCATTGCTGCCTGCTCTTCTGATGATTCCTCTAATACAAAGTTCATATCCATCTAAGGGAGTTTGTATTTGTTGATCCCTTTGTCTGAAAAGCTTACCTTGTGGGTCTTTGCATAGTTGGCACCCGAGGGCACTCAGGTCTCTGCTCACAGGTCCCCTTCTCAGAGGAACGTTTCTTGTTTGTTTGTTGCATTTTCATATTTTTCATTAAAAGTTATTACAAGATATTGAACGTAGTTCCCTGTGCTATACAGCGGAAACTTTTTTAAAATCTATTTTTGTATATAGTAGCTAACATTTGCAAATCTCAAACTCCCAAATTTATCCCTTCCCACCCCTTTTCCCCAGTAACCATAAGATTGTTTACTATGTCTGCGAGTCTTTTTCTGTTTTATAGATGAGTTCATAGGGTCCTTTTTTCTTTTTTAGATTCCACATATGACTGATATCATATGGTATTTTTCTTTCTCTTTCTGGCTGACTTCACTTAGAATGATGATCTCTAGGTCCATCCATGTTGCTGCAAATAGCATTATTTTATTATTTTTATGGCTGAGTAGTATTCCATTGTATAAATATACCACATCTTTATCCAGTCATCTGTCAATGAACATTTAGGTTGTTTCCATGTCTTAGCTATTGTATATAGTGCTGCTGTGAACATTGGGATGCATGTATCTTTTCAGAATAGAGTTCCTTCTGGATATATAAGTCAGTCACATCATTTGCAAATATTTTCTCCCATTCCATAGGCTGTCTTTTTGTTTTGCGTATGGTTTCCTTTGCTGTGCCAAAGCTTTTGAGTTTAATTAGGTCCCATTTGTTTATTTTTGCTTTTATTTCTATTGCCTGGGTAGACTGTCCTAGGAGAGCACTGCTAAGATTTATGTCAGAGAATGTTTTGCCTATGTTTTCTTCTAGGAGATTTATCACGTCTTGCTTTATATTTAAGTCTTTAAGCCATTTTGAGTTGATTTTTGTGTATGGAGTGAAGGAATATTCTAACTTCATTGATTTACATGCAGCTGCCCAGATTTCCCAACACCATTTGCTGAAGAGACCGTATTTTCTTAGTTGTATGTTCTTGCCTCCTTTGTCAAAGATTAATTGACTGTAGGTCTGTGAGTTTATTTCTGGGCTCTCAGAGAAGCATTTCTGATCCTCCTCCTGGTACTACCTGTCCCATCACCCTTTTGTATTTCTCTTCGTACCATTTGTTGCTAGTATTTTAAGTTCATATGTGTTTATGTGCACTTGTTAATTACCCTCTTTGGGCTGTACGTTCTGTGAGAGTAGAACTTATGTTCTACTTGTTCCTTGCTGTATCCCCAGATGCTACTCCAGCATCTGATACATAACTGGTACACAATACGTAGATGTTGAATGAATAAATGAATTTGTTTATTTGTGTTCATATGTCCCATAGTGCTCTTAGACATATACAAACCATATCACCCTGTGGATGAAGGATGTCACCTGCCATATCAGTAAACAGAGGATGTTGTGGCCATCAAGCCATCAGCCACTGCTGCTGCTTCCGACTATGCCCCCTGAGGGGATTCAGGATACAGAAAAGCAGGCTACTGGCCCTAAATAGGTAAGATACCGATCAAAGGAATGATTTAATGAGCCCAGACTCTTGCATCTTCTCATACATAGAAAAGCACTAAATTCATTCACTTGAGAGGTCTGATTTTCTGCAATTTATAGTAATCTTTTGATATTCAGACTCCCTGGTTTTTGTGGCAAAGCTTCCTATATATCCTGAGTCCTCCCTGACCTCTTTGGAGCAGTCCCTCAGACCTATCTGAGAGGCTGTCTCCCAGGCTTAACCCCTCAGAAAGTCAACCAAATAAAACGTAATTGTCAACTTTAGGTTGTGCACTTTTTTCGGTCAACAGTCTGTATGCAAATAACTCCCAAAGTCATATTTCCAGTCATATGTTCCAGATTTACCACTCCAGCCTCCTAGCGGACATCTTCAGAGAGCTGTTCCACTGCCACCTCCAGGTCAACATATCCCAAACCATAACCTGGACATTTGGCCTCCAACCCTTTTCCTTCCCCTTTCTTCCCCCATCATATTCAATCAGCAGCAGCATCTGCTGAAATCATGCTGTGCAGTGGATCGCATTGCCATCCCTGCCTTTTAATAGCCCCCTCTCCCTCCCTTAGGGAGCATTCTTCTCACCATAACCTGGTCATAGAGGTGGACGGAATCTCCAAGGTCTGAGTCCAGGTTCCTGCCAGGGCCCAAGTCATTTTTAAAGCCATTTGGACAGCTGGTTATGCTTTGAGCTCCTGCTTTGAGCACCTTTGGTGACACCAGCAGGGAATTATCACATTGCAGAGTTCTCATCGTTATACGGAACTGAAATCATTTTGTTCTCACACACTCATACAATAGCTCTTTCTCCGGGAATGTGACAGGCCTGAGAATGTGTGAAGACGGATCTGATGCTCTGTGGTTTTATGTTCATTCAGTTTTCAGTCTCACTCCTGACAGGAGGATTATACTTTACCCTGTTGGAGTCAGACATGGTTGGGTAGCTAGCTCTGGTCTATAGAAACTGAGAGGAATTGACAGGTATCACTTCTGGGTAGATACTCTGAGAACCTGTTTGAGTGGCCTCCCATCCCTCTACCATGAGACAAGCTAAGCTTCTCACAGAGGGGGCTCCATCAGGCTGGGTTCCAGAGTGAAGATGACGTGGAGCAGGATCCCAGGCAAGCCATGAGGTGACGAGAGTCAAGTGATTGAAATGTGGAGGTCCATTGTTGGCAAAACCTAACCTAACCTAGCCCAAGTTAGTCTGGCTTTTTCCTCACTCCTTTCATCATTCTTCACAAGTCACAATTTCAGCCCCCCACCATTCTGACCACTGTCTCCGGTGTTGCACCCATTTTTGTCATTATCCCCCTTAAAACCCAAATCTGAACCCAGTACCCCATGTCTAACCCCACTTGCACATAACCTTTGACCTGGGAACCCCTCTAAATGGAGCCTGGAGTTGCTTTTGTGTTTGTTTCTTTGTGTATGCTTTTATCATCAGCTGTGTCATACTATTAACTCTTGTTGAGCTTGTGAACCGATAATTAGAGCCAAAGGTTTTTCCCATTGGTCTCTCAATATTTCCCTGGGGAATGGATTTTTAGATCTGTCGACAAAAAATTAATAGCCAACCTAAGAAAGAAATGGAAGATTTTATTTGAGCCAACCTGCAGATTATAACCTGGGAGACAGTCTCTCAGAGAGCTCTGAGAACTGTTCCAAAAAGGTAAGCGGGGGAGACCAGTGTATATGTGATTTTAGAGGAGTATGTGTAATCAAGCACACATCTTGGTAGAAGGTTACTGCTATGCACGAGGGAACAGATATCTTAGTTAATGGTTTTAGTGCCTTTCTAAGTATGTGAAGATGCAAGAAACGGAGTTTATAAAATTTTCTTCTGAAAATATCGAGCTATCTGAGCCAGTTCTGCCAATTTTCCCAGAGCACAAAATGCCTCATCCTGATCTTCACCCTGAATTCCTTTTAGGGTGTATTTTAGGTCAGCAAATGCAGTGGCTAATGACTTGATTCTTGTAGAACTGGATGGTGGGCATCATTCTTTATTTCACAATCTCCTCCCTTTATGTCTTAATTTCAACCAAGGGAAATTGGGAGGTATTTCATGACCAACTTTTCCCACAATGCTAGGAATGCTCATTCCCAGGTCAGGTGAGGATTCCCTCAATGTGCTATTACTGGACTAGACCCTGTTAACAGTAGCCCAAAGTTTCTGGACCACCCGTCTTACTGGTTTGTTATGGTCCAAGCAATGGTTCCCTTGTGTTGCTTCTTCCTGTATCTAGTTACACTATCACAGTCATTGATCTTATGGAACTATATACTTGGTCAATTGTTTCCAGTCGCCTAGTCATTGTTACTTTCGTCAGGGCCTCACTCACACATTTGGGAGTGCAAGAAACAGTAATCTTGTAAAAAAAAAAAGAAACAAAAAGGCAGACTACAAGGAATATAGCTAGTCACATTAATAAGGTCACAAGTAAGTATTTGAGCTAAGAACTTCCAGTGAGTGGGCCCCAGTATCTCTCCAGGTCGTCTGAACAAACCCAGTCTGTTTTGTACCAGTTGCTGTCTTTAAAGGAAATGATATATCGGCATTGTACATGAAGTTCACCAAAGATGTGAGCACCTACAAGGTGAGTGGTGCGTCATTGTGATCTCGTATAGGATTGAGAAAGGAATGTTATCTTTTAAGGAGTTAAATGGCACTAGAAGAAGAAACATTGATTTTCATGGTTGAGCAGGTATTTCTGGCCTTGAGGTGGGGTTAATGCATCGTGTTGATGCATAGTGCATACTGGAGGGGAGGGAGGAGGCCCGACCGGGCAGAGAAAACATTTTTAAATTTTTCTTGTCTTGCCTTAAATATGAATTTTATTTCATCAGATCCTAGGTCAAGTAGACAGCGCAGCCTTTTACAACTGTTACATGATCTCTTAAAGACAAATTAGCGGCAGAACCATTTACAGAAACCAGATGGTATCTTTTGGCCGCCAAGGCTATTTATCATCTGGTATATTAAGCGAAAGCTGCAAAGCTGCGGCACAGGCAGGTCTGAGCGCTGGGTAGGATAGGTCTTGTAGGATATTCAATCCTGCATAGCTCAGCTTTGGTGCAAAATCCAAGATTGTCTGTTGCCCGCGGGGCCCCACTTTCCCACGCAGGCGCCTTCAGGTCCCCAGGTCCTGACCCGCCCACCCGGTGGCTATCTAGGGAGCCCTCAGCCTCGCCCTCTCTGGCTCCGACACCCAATGGGCTGCCGCGAGCCTCTCATGTGGGCGGGGCACGCCCTGGGGGCCGATCTGGTTGGCCCATGGCTCCGCGCGGCGCATGACGTCTCTCCGTCTCCGTCGCGTCGCGCTGTCGTTCGGTCGTAGCGGCCGCTCCGGGCGCCTGAAGGAGACTTGGAGACACCTGGGCCACCTTGCTTGGGTCGCTGGGAGTCGCCGCTGCCGCCGCCGCCCGTCTTCCGTCGTAACTGCTAGCACTCCATGAGGAAGATGCTCGCCGCCGTCTCCCGCGTGTTGTCGGGCGTCGCCCAGAAGCCGGTGAGGCGGCGTGAGCTTCGCGGAGTAGGGCGCGAGCGAGG